TGGAGGGGCTGGTTTCTTGCCCTCCAAGTCCATTGGGGCGTTGGGAAAGGTGGGGGAAAGAAATCCCATCATTTCCCTTCCCCACCGATTGTTATCCCCCTTTTTAGGGATCTTGATCTTATCCCTTCGGGATATGATCTTATTCCTTCTAAGGGGGGATCTTGGTGCGCCTTGACCAGGGGTGTGGGGCCTTGCCCCCACTACCCACGTTCATGTGGGTCCCCCCATGCAGGTGGGCCCCACTCCGAAACCTTCTAGAACCTTCCCGGTACAATACCGAAAAATCCCGAACATTTTCCGGTGGCCAAAATAGGACTTCCCATATATAAATCTTTACCTCCGGACCATTCTGGAACTCCTCGTGACGTCCGGGATCTCATCCGGGACTCCGAACAACTTTCGGGTTACCGTATACTAATATCTCTACAACCCTAACGTCATCGAACCTTAAGTGTGTAGACCCTACGGGTTCGGGAGACACGCAGACATGACCGAGACGACTCTCCGGTCAATAACCAACAGCGGGATCTGGATACCCATGTTGGCTCCCACATGTTCCACGATGATCTCATCGGATGAACCACGATGTCGAGGATTCAATCAATCCCGTATTCAATTCCCTTTGTCCAGCGGTATTGTACTTGCCCGAGATTCGATCGTCGGTATCTCGATACCTTGTTCAATCTCGTTACCGGCAAGTCTCTTTACTCATTCCGTAACACATCATCCCGTGATCAACTCCTTGGTCACATTGTGCACATTATGATGATGTCCTACCGAGTGGGCCCAGAGATACCTCTCCGTTTACACGGAGTGACAAATCCCAGTCTCGATTCGTGCCAACCCAACAGACACTTTCGGAGATACCTGTAGTGTACCTTTATAGCCACCCCGTTATGTTGTGACGTTTGGCACACCCAAAGCACTCCTACGGTATCTGGGAGTTGCACAATCTCATGGTCTAAGGAAATGATACTTGACATTAGAAAAGCTTTAGCATACGAACTACACGATCTTTGTGCTAGGCTTAGGATTGGGTCTTGTCCATCACATCATTCTCCTAATGATGTGATCCCGTTATCAACGACATCCAATGTCCATGGTCAGGAAACCGTAACCATCTATTGATCAACGAGCTAGTCAACTAGAGGCTTACTAGGGACATGGTGTTGTCTATGTATCCACACATGTATCTGAGTTTCCTATCAATACAATTCTAGCATGGATAATAAACGATTATCATGAACAAGGAAATATAATAATAACCAATTTATTATTGCCTCTAGGGCATATTTCCAACAGCCATGACTACAGATATTTGAGAAAGCAGATTTGGCTAAGTGTTGAGACAAACAAGTTTTCTAACTGCTTGATATTATTCCAGATCAAATGGCTATTCAAAATGGAAAAAATTCTAGACCTAAAAGTCTAGCGCAAATGAGTTTGTGAGTCCTAATGAGGCCTTTATACTGGAAAAAGGGATCTACTAGTATCAAGAGTAAGCACAAAACAACTACCGCACAAGCATATATCTCTTTTTGGATCAAGAAGAGGCTGCCGGGGAAGAACTACGAAGAAATTGCGATGAACTGCGAAGAACATGCAGAAACCTAGAAAGCCCTAATGCAGATCTGATGAGCAAGAAGGGAAACGCTTACAGCCACAGATCTTCCGCGAAGAGTCGCCGCCGTTCTCTCGACTGATTCCGGTCGATGCAGCGGCCAAAGTCGACGGAGGTGAGGTGCTCTCTGATGGTGGCGGAGCTCGAGCAGCAGCGGGGGTTGCGAGAGGAAGAAGACGAAGAAGAGAGAAGAATGAGAAAGACCGGGGCATGCCTATTTATAAGGGGATAAGCAAACAGGCGGGCACAAAAATCGAGGAAGACTCAAATAATGATTATCCAACTAAACGGACGCCTCGATTCTCGGAAGGCATTAAAGAATAAAGATTCGTTGAGAGATGATGTCATAATAGTTTTTCGTGTTTTCAAGAAATGACGTCATGGAGGGTTACAAAAATCTCTACGAAGAAAGGAAAATGGATCTTGTCTAAGTATTGAAGATTGACAAAGAACAAAGTTCAGAGTCAACCTGGGGCCTAATGTTGGGGATATAGCTACCAGGTATGACCCGCCGAGGAGGGGCCGGGTCAGCCCTAATGGCGGGTCACAAAGAAAGCCCAGTAAAGATTCAAGGCGGTAGTTTATTAAGGCTTATAGAAGGCCTAAGCCCAGAGGCGGCTTAAGGCCCAATATTGTAAACCGCCGTATGTAAGGAAAGACTTGTAAGGAAAGGCATATAAAAGAAGTCACCGAGCCGGGCATGCTTTATGAGCCGGCCGGGACTCCGTAGGCCGCCAAGCATCAACCCATGTATATAAGGGGACGACCCGGTGGCGGCTTAGGGCAAGAAACAAGAGATCGATAGCCAAGCCGGCGGATTAGCCTCTTGGTGATCGAAACCTCAGTAATTACAAACACAACTAGACGTAGGCTTTTACCTTCATCGTAAGGGGCCGAACTAGTATAAAACCTCTCGTGTCCCTTGTCCCGATTAACCCCTTTAAGCTTCGTAGTTGCGATGGCCCTACGACTAAGTCCTTTTGCTAGGACATCTGCCATGACAATTCCACGACAGAATGTGAACAAAAAGATGTTATCACCGAGACTCTTACAGTCAACTCCCCGCATCGGCCACCAAGCTTGTCCCAACGCTGCAACAATTCCGCCCGCAAACGCTGGCTTCTCGGAGAGTAGTTTGCCGAGTGCTTGTGGTTCCAGCGCTCCTCCATTTCCTCCTCCGATCCATCCAATCTCGACTCTTTTCTTCTTCGCCCCCGACAGCTTGAGTTTCTTCATCAGCCCCTTTACCTTGTCCATGCACGCCATCTCCCTTCTTACCCCCAATCACCTGTCTAGTGAGGAACAAGTGTATTACGACTGTACGCCTCTAGATCGTACAAAAGGTTTATGAGAATTTTGAATTTGCTAAACAAAAGGTTTATGGTGACTAGGGTTTGTGGATGTGGAGTCTAAAACCAACGAAACTAGCGAATGTGTCTTCAACCTTTAGAACCCACACAATCACGAGGACGACAGTTGGCGCAGCTAGGAACACCAATCTCCAGCGGCAGTTGGATCTCCGACGAAGAAATCCTAGGGCGCGGACATAGTTGCCTAAGAAATCGCCACAGAACCAACCGCCACGCAAGGGGCAAAAACAAAACTGCTTAGGTTGTGTCACTTCGAGAGAAGAAGGGAGGGATTGCTAGTTGTCTAGTCTCTTACTTGGCTCCTCCAAGTTAGAGAATTCACATTGGTATGAGATATGTGGGTCCACGCTGCTGGGTAGTAAAATGAGAATCTGACTGATGCCCGAATGAAATGAGCTAGCTGATGAATATAGTATAGACACTAAAAAAAAAACCTAATCCACCAGCCTGCTTTTCTCGCCCCGAGCGCGGCCTGCGCCTCCTCACCCAGCTCCGCCGCCGGCGCCACCCGCCATCGACCTCCCCCCTCCCCTGCTCCCCTGCAGCAACCCGCCTCTCTTCACCTAGCGCCGCCACCCGTCGCCGGC